TATGTTGATTGTATTGAGTAGAAAGAAGTAACGTCATTGAACAGTGAGGCTTTGACTTTATTACTGAAGTTGGAAGGGATTGTTTTTCTTAGGTAAGTACAGGGATATTGATAGCTGAACTACTCAGTGTGTTTGTTTCAGGTAAACATTTTGCTGTAATTCAATTTGAGAGGGATCTTTCTCTTAAAAGCATTGGATGTGTCTGCATACTAATGAGAGATTGTGCTCTTTAGTCTTATATACTGGAATGATTGAAAGCAGGTCATTTAGTGCCAACAGAAGCTTGTTTCCTGTGTAATTATGAAATGCAAAAGATAGTGCCCAAAACAGTAATCAGGATGCTGACTTTGAAAACATCCTCTTTTTGGAAACATGAGTTATGTTCGTTCTTGTGTTTATTGGGATGGAACATTAGCATACTTCAATGTGTGAAGGAAAAAAAAAGAAGAATCTGCGTGATTGAGAGAAGCAGTGAAAATAACTGCAGTGCTGCAGACCCAAGAAGGATGGAAATCCCATTTCCCAAGCGTAGGTTTGTGTTGGCAGTGTATGAAAGAGACCAAACAGAGATTGTTGCTCTCTGCAGTCCCTCCCAAAGCTTGAGGCAAAGCAGGAGGCTGCTAGGCTGCTTTGTAGGGAGCAGTGTTTGGTGTGGCATTAGAAATCAGTTGGTGGTTCACCTATGTTCTGGAGGAAGTGCTCTTACACCAAGTATTCGATCTGTGTACCAGGGTTTGGGTAGTGCTCCTTTCAAGCAGACACAGCCAGTTATTTTTGCTGTCTAACACCACATGAGGTGCTGCAAGTGCTGTTATATGAAGTCTAACTTGAGCCCGTCTCCCAGCCCCATGCACTGCCTGCCATGCAGCAATCTGCCCCGTGGGCTCCCTGCACATGGGTACAGCTGGGGCTCACCTCGTGGGCTTGTTTCCCCTGCTAGGTAGCACACTGTAAAAGGGTGACTTTTTATTTGCTGAGTTTTCATTGTCTTTTTATTTGAGTGAGTCTTTTAATTTAAGTTCTGGAGGAACATCTTATAACCCAGCCGGAATCTGTATTTGTGAATCTGTGATAAAGCAAAGTGCTGTACTTGCAGTGAAATATGAGCCTGGTTCAAAGCCCTCTCGAGCTCTTGGAAGTGTTTCCATTGATTGCAGCAGGCTTGGATCTATTCTTATTTCTGTGAAAATTCTGTAATAAATGAAGCTGCTTTAGGCCTTTGGGAATGAAGGATAGCAGCTGTAGGTAGAGTGCTATTACTGTGGTGCCAATAATATCCAGTTGTATTAGGGCTGTTACAAGGTGTCTGTGGGAAATGGATCTTTTCACGAGGGAGAGATGGTTTCAAAGTTCGGTGGGGGGTGTTTTGGCCTTTAACTGCTGGTTTGTACTGGTTTCTGTTATGTTCCCCCGTTCATCCCTTTGGTGGGCCAGCAGCTCATTAGATACCTCTCTGGATTCCAGAGTTTAGCTCCTAACCCAATTTATTTAGACTGCTGGGGTCTCGCAGAAGAGGCTTTATCTTGCAGCAGTCTGAGTGTGTCAGCCTTGTGTGAGAGGCTGTGTTTGGGAGATAGTGCTCTGTAAACCACAGCCTGTGCCACGTTGCTGGAAAGCACTTCTGGCTTCCCCTGCATTGACAAAATGCTTTTGATGTGCCTCAAATGGAACGTTTCTTCTAGTTTATTTTTGCTCCTTGGTAAAACACGTTCTTCAGATTTCTAACTGAGCTTAAAGGAATATGTTTTTCTTTTTTTGGTCTGGTATTCTGTTTGTCCAGTCTTTTGTTTTTACTTTTTTAGCAGTGCTGTTGATGCAGCTCAGAACTGCTTTATCCTTAATTGCTGCTGCAGAACCATCACAGAGGCAAAAAAGCAAACATTTCTGTTGAGCACAGAAAAGTGGGCTCTTAGCAAGCCCTTAACCGTGACTTTGATTTCAAAAACTTCTTTTTCTCCTCTATTTCCTTTCCCTTCCCTTCTCTAGTGAGGGATTCTGAAGAGGATCGAGCTGAAAAATTATATTCTCTTCAATTATCCAGAGCAAGGTGCATCTGGCAGTGGTGCTGGCGATGCTAGCTTAGTTCTGAAGCAATAAAATGAGCTCAGGACTGAGGACTGTTCAGTCTGGGGCCTCTTCAGTCTCCGTCTTCTCTGCTGAGCAAGATGCCAATTAGTGTCAATAACAGTGGATGGCTTTGATGATCTGGAGTTTTCTAAACCAGAAACTGGAATGGATCTGCTAACTCATTTTATGGATGTTACCATACAGACGTTCCAAAGCGTTCATTTGTCATCATTACTGGCTGTCTGGGATTTGGGTCTGAGGATTAGAAGAGAAAATCCGCGTCTTTTTGCTACTCTTCTTACTGTCCTGATCATCAAAATAGGTATTTAATCTCCCAATCTAGGGAACTGTGGCGAAATCAAAAGCTGGACATCAATCTGTAAGCTGCAGTCTCTCTCCGTGAGACAGGGCTAATGTTACTGTTAGGTTTGTTTGTTAGTTTGTTTAAATGCAAACAAAGTCATGGTTTGCAGAAGTGGGCTTTTTTTGTCTCTTTTTTTCAGACAGATGTCTTCACATTCCACTTATTTATTTGCAGTTTTTATTTATATTATTACATTTTTCTTTCCCTTTCCCGAGGTTTATTTTGGGTCTCTGACAGCATACAATATAATATACAAAATGTAACCCAATACACAAATACTGTCAGACAAATCAGAAACAACGTGAGTTGTCCTCACTGGTTTAAATCTGTCAGAACCAGAACATAAGGTTTTCCAGGTGTTAAGTTATCTTCCTTCACTGCTCTGGGAATAGTGTAACAATGTACTGCCTAAAATGTCCAGGTATGTTTGCGTATTCACAGAATAACTTTTTGACAATAAAAATCTTACTGCACTGGAATGAGCAAACAGTTACAGTTCTTCCTCAGAACGAATTAAAAAATAAATTGCACCGAGTTAGCTGAACAGTTCACTTTGCAGGTAAATATAATGCTCTGAGTTTTCTAAAGTAACAAACTGGCGTGTTTTTCTTGGCTGGGACGTGTCATTCTGCTTTCTGAAGCACTGTAGGCACGTCTGAGGTAGCACTGAAGAAAGCCAGGGACAACAAAAGAATCGTTCACAGGTGTGATACCATCAGTGCTCCTGAGATTTAAACACAGTGCTTCAGTCATTCTCCTTATCCCATACATCATCTTTGCATTTATCCCCACTACTGCTCTGTGCTTGGTTTACTTACATACAGCCCCAGAAATTGGCCTTGAAATTTCTTTTTTGAAAGCTATTCCTCGTGTTCAAAGGTAGAGAGGTGCAAATACGGTTACTTTCTAAGTTGTTTCAATTTGACACATCCAAATAGGATCCTCTGAAAGCTGTTGAACCCTGACTTCTGGCAGTATTTGAATTTGATGTTTGGATGATATGTTTAGCAACCGTAACATTTAATATTGCTTTAGCTAAATAGATAAATAAAATATTATGGGAAATCAACACAACAACAAAACACCTTCCTCCTTGTCCAGCCTCCTTGCTTCAGTTCTGTGTTCTCTTCTGTGTGAATTCCCTTCTTAACTGGGGTTGGAAAATGGTGTTCTTGATTCCTGCCTGCTCTGTCCACTTTGAAAATCTAACCTTAATATATCAATAAAGATGAGAAATGCTGTTCCTCAGCAGTGCTTCCTGATGGCCACTATGATGGAGTCCAAGCTCCTGGGGTTGCCTGTGGTGAAAGCCCAACTGCTTTGCGTATGGCAGACCTCTGAGCCTGGGTGGAGCATGTTTGCATGGATCCAATTAGAGGATCAAAGCCCTCATTAGCTCTGCTCAGGCTTTTGTTTGAAGCCAATCTTTTATTTGCACAGACCTCTGCTTTACCGCAATGGAGGCGTGTAGCTGTATGAATTCGCAAACAGGCTGAGCAGAGGCTGTAACGCCACATTAATTCTAGCGCTTGTGCCACAGTCGGAGCTTTGCAGCCCACCCAGCTGCATCTGGCACGCCTGGCCCAATGTCTACATGTAGAAACAAAGCTCATCCGTCTCCTTCAGCTCAGAGTTTTGTGCTGACCATAATTTTTAAAATGTCGTTCTTCCTTTTAGTCACTGCTTTCTGCTCCTGAATGCACCGTAGGATCTGCACTGCTCGAGGACCTGCGTTTTCCAAGAGGCTCTCCATGGATAGCTGGTACACTGCTCAGTGGGGAACAGTGGGGGCAAGAGGGAAGTTTTCCCAAGGGCTGACATTTCTGTAACAATACCAGTAATTGCCTGAATAAATCCTAAGAGTAGTTTCACATGCACTTTGAGCTAGTGTAAGCAGACGTGACTGCCAAGAGGAGCAGTTCAACCCTCCCTGTGCCCATGCTTGCTTTTTCCCATTTCAGAACTGTCCTCTTCAGTGAACTCTGTTGTTTTCATCCAGATAAGTTCCCTAGTCTGCTTCCTGCTGGGCCACACAGCTGCTTGTCTGCACGCATGGGAATGGGGCTGGAAATGAACAGCTGGAACCCCTGGGGGAGGGCAGGATTGTCTCCTCTGGTGGCTGTCCTAGCTTGTGCCAAATTGAAGGGTATGTGAAATTATTGCTTCACATAAAATAACGTGATTTTGCATCTCACTCCTTTAGTTCTTCTCAGGGTTCCCACTTCAAAGTGCCTGTGCTGTGGCATCTGCTTAGAAGAACTGCAGTGGGAGTAATTTTATGTATTACAAGATGGACTCAGTTAATAGGGGCTTGAGAAAGGGCTGGATCTTCTCCCTCACATCTAGAAATTTAGAGTTTATAGTAAGGATAGAGTTAGAGGGATGGTGCTGGCAGCATGTTAAAAAGCTGCCAGCACCTGGGGGCATGGATTCTCATGGTCAAATGGTTTTCTTTTCCCAGCAGGTTTATTGGCTGATTGGTTCTTTGGTTCTGTGGTAGTCAGCTGTCTTAGCTGACTTGTCTGTGTTAACTGAACACGCATTTGCTGCCATGGAAGGTCTGGAACAGCATCTGTCTCCAGCAGTGATCCCTGACAGCTGGAGGAATGTGAGGAGCTGGGCAGGTCGACTGCCTTGCCCCAGGAGCGAGGTGGCGGGTTTGGGCCTTTTTGGTTTTGTGCTGGGTACGCTGTATGATTAACTGTGAAGGGACCTGTACTTATGCAGGGCCAACTTTCCTCAGCGTTACCAGTAAAGTCATTGCAACTCAGATTTAAGTGGCCAATTTTTTAAGGGCTGTTACAGTCTTTAGGCTGCTAATGGCTCCTAAAACACTAAGTGAATTCCTATTCACTGAGATTGAAACAAAAATAAGAGAGCTTAGTGCTTTTCTACTGGCTGCCTTTCTTGCCTTTTCATGGGTGAATTATTATAAAGAAAGCTATGTATCCACAGAGACATACATTGTAATGATGATAACTGGAAAGGGGCTTTCTGTTGAGGAAATAATAAGTGCATCCTAGGTTGAATAAACTCCCAAGAGAGGAAACGCTCTCCTGTCTGTCCAAGCATGGAACTGTTCTGTGGGAGCCCTGCTGCCTTCTACGTAGAGCACGAGGGAGAAGCTGCTTCTCACAGCACCCATCTTTGGCTGTGCTGGGATCTCTGCATGGGTGCCCAGGTGGGAGGCAATAGTGCTGTGAGGTGCATTTAGCTCCCTGCAGGTCCCCTCTGCTGTTTCCTCTCAGGTAGGAGCCCTGCTGGCAGTGAGGTGGGCGTGCTGTTGCAGCAGCAGGAAGGTGCCGTGAGATGCTGCCCATGGGCTGCAGGTGTGCACCTCGTGCAGTGGGAGGAGAGGTTCTCTTGAGGGAGGTGTAGGGTCTGGCAGTTTCGTAGAAGCAGAGCTCCTGGAATAACAACCACTCAAATACTTTCCTCTGTTAAGAGTTGTTTCAGGGGAAAGAATGAGGGAAGCCTAGGAAGGTTCTTCTTTGCTTTAATGATGCGCCTTTTGGACAACTGAGGTCATTTGCTGAATTGTATTTACGCAGAGTTGTTCAGGAGGTTTAAACTTTGTGAGAAGCAGGGAAAGCGTAGCAGTTCTGGCTGGACAGCAGAGAACCGTGCTCAATGTATGTCTGATGAAGGAAAGGAAGTAAAACTACAATAATTAAAGCAAATTGCTGACCTTGGATTAAAAGTTGCTGTGAGCTGCTCAGAGCATGGAGCTCTGCTTAGCTATGGAGCAAATGTGCAGATCAAACGCACACCCAACCAAAAAGAATTTTTGGTGAAAAGTATTTGTGAGAAGCCAGGATCGTGCAGCAGCACCATGACAGCATCCCTGCAGTGTGGCTGGGCAGGACTCCTTCAGTCAGTATCAATAAAGCAAACATGCAGGCCAGTCAAAATCCTCCTTCATTCAAAAACCTTTTTATTCCAGAGAGTAATAATAAAAAAAATTCACAGTTAATCATTATCATCTTGTTCCCATGCTAGGTAATTAGTATTGCATTGTTGCTTTGTGCCATTCCCTATGTTCCCTTCATGTCAGAAAAGTTTAATTGACATTAAAAGAAGAGGAAATTAAAGGGATTTTAATCAGTTGGTCTGTCCTATCAGCTTTAAAAAGAGAAGCTGGAGTAATAGAAAAATAGACTGGTGTCTATGCTCTCTTATCATCCATTTTGCTATTCATTACTGAATTGATGAGACTATCTGCTTTGCATTTTTAATCGTATAATTGATTAAAGTGAAATTAAAACACTCTGCGTTTTCTTCCTGTTAGTGAGGCTTTTGACTAACCATGATCTCACATTTTTTCAGTTTTCACTCAGAAACCAGCACTGAGAGTAAGAAGTGGGCATCAGTGTTCTTGAGACATCTGTCAGTGTCTGCAGCAAGATCCCATCTGATAAAGAAATAGGTAAGAAACTAATGTTCTTATCTATGCCAACTCCTAGGTATGTGCTGCAACATTCATGATATGCCTTAAGTTATTCCCTTAAATATTTTCTGCATTGAAACTTCAACGCATTACACTTGCCTGGTCAGCAAATACTTGATGTCTTGGTTATAAAATGATTGCACTGAAGACAGCGAGAAAGCGATATAGGTTACAAAAATACTTTAAACTACATCAGATATTCAAACTAAGGAAATTCCAAACAATAACTTCTTTGTGTAATTTGTTCCAACAAATAAAATTGGTTTAATATGTCTTAATGATTTAGGTGAAAATTAAAGAATAAGGACTCATCTTGCTTCAGTAAAGATACTGAAGAATTCTTACTCACATTCAGATTTTCTTGGAGTGAAGAGCAAATATGGTTTATAAATACAGTATTATTAGGCCCTCTTCTTTTCTGGTGATTGCAGTAACAAAGAAAATCAGAGGACATTATTTAAATAGCTTTGGGTAAATCTGCTTAAAGAAGATGATTTCTGCAATTTATTGTGTAACACTCAGAGGTGAACTCAAACATGCCTGTACAAGTCAATTAATACAAAGCAAATTGTTGGAGACTGCAGGCTGTATGCACTGGAATGAGCAGAAGGGCTCCTGCTGCTTTCGGTGTGCTTGCAGTCAGGCGGTGGAAATGAGATCCTGGCAGATCTCCAGTGCCAGCTGGTGGCATCCCATTGACTCATTGGGGGCAGGATTTTGTGCTAAGTTTTGGAAGATTTCATTCCAACAAAGTTTTTATCCTCAAAAGAAAGAAAAGCCAGAGGTGCCTCTCAGCAGGTCCTTGCTATTGCTACTTATCTGGGAAGCACTTAAATGCAATGGTCAGATCTGGATTTATCATCCAGACTGATGATGGAAGGTGGTCTTCAAGAGCTTAATTCACCATCACTGGGAGGTGGGGATCTATTCTGAGGAGGTGCTTACACGCTCTGGCCCTACAGAATCTGCAGAATGACACATTGGTGGGAACACAATTTATAAATGACACATGTGGAGAGAAGGCTTCCTGGCCCAGGTTTTCCCACTGGCTGTGCTCATCCTCTTCCAAATCACTGACATGGGTAGATGTGTTCGGAATCCCCAGTGACAATGTTTCTATTCGTGTTTTGTTCCTTCTATTCTTGCTACATAATAGGGAGTTGGACAAACTGGTTGTAAACAGGAAAACTCTCCCTAGGATTTTTATGTTCTTGAGCTAAGTCTGTCTGGGTCCCAGAGCAGCTAACGACGCGTCTGTGTGCCCTGAGCACCAGTGGCTCTCTGTGGTGGATGTATCAGTGAAGATTCCAGTCTCTTCTGCAGAAAGGGCTTAAAGTAGGAACTTTGCATAGTGTGTTAGAACGTTCTGTCCACAGACTAATGTTTGAGACATTTGGGGAACTAATTGAAGATAAGTATCAATCTTTCTGTCTCTTCATTTTGGGATCGGCTGTCCAGGTATAATGTCTAAGCTAGGTCTAGGTCTGACTCCATTGAAATAAACATTGATTTTTTTTAAATTTTATTTTGGTAAACTGTGAGTTGGTTCCTCTGTCTACAGATTAGTAATTAAAAGAGTAAAAATGACTACAGTTACTTCTATGCTTATTTTTTATTGTGGTTAAAGGCATGAAGAGTTTATCAGAGCACGAATAGAAATGGTTTGCTCCCAGATACGAAGTCATGTTCTTGTGCGTAAGAAGCTGACTGACAGACCACTCGAAGTGTGGGTCTCTTCTAAGCAGCCTGTAAGCTTTGTGTACCTAAAAGCAAATGTGTCTGCAAGGTAATATAGATTCCTTTCAGGTTTTATTTTGGGTGTGTTTTTCAGATTTCTTTGCCTTTTGAGGTTCATCATCTGCATGAGAATCACACGCTTCTAGGAACATCTGTTCCTTCACATTGGAAGAATATCTGTAGATGTAAAAGAAAGAAAGCAAGGACAGGTGTGCTGTGGTTCTCTTGGGTGTGGGATGATGCTTTATCTGTAACAGCACCATGGAAGCAGAAAATGTATCATTTATTGCTACTCTCTTTTCTGAAGCCTTTAGAGTGAGGAGTTCCTTGGGCTGATTTAATTGCAGGGTCTCTTCGTAAATAGCTGCCCTGGTATGAGAAAGGCTGGAGGTCATTTCAAAATGTCTTCCGTGTCTTAGGTTATACTGCTAAAATAGTGTAGATGTTGTCTAAGCTGCCTTCAAACAGCTTTTGTATCTGAAGAAGTGTAGTGGCAGCAGTACAGGAGTAGTTGCCTTCTCCTACAAAGCCATCTGAAAGGCAAGGGTAAAAATCTAGCAACATAATTTTTTGCAGTCCTTCAAAATGCCCTTAATCACCTCTTTGATAAAACGCGATGCTCTAGCCAGCCCAGAAGGGAGAATATACTTCCATACTATTTATCTGCCTTTGTCAGACTGCTGTTAAAATGCTCCTTGGGATCGGTGTGGGGGAGGAGCCCTTCATTTTTGATCGGAAAGACCAATGCTGGCATACAAGCAGAAGGTTTTTCCAATTCTTTTTCTTTCTTTCCGATTGTAGTCTTTAAAGGGAACGTGGATACCAGCATTAGCAGGGAATAAAGTGAGAAATGTGTTGCTTTTCAACAAGTGGGCAAATAGAACGTCTTGGAAAGGAATTTTGGAGAGACAGGAGGCTCAGACCTGTGCATCTTTGGTTAACGAGTCGTCTCAGTCCTGTAATAGTCCCGCTAATAAATCCCAAATAGGTCTATTACCTGGCAGTGGAGTGGAAGGACATTACACATCCCCAATCTTCTCCTGATTCTGTTCTTGTCCCTATCTTGTTTCTGCACTTGATTTGCCAGAAGCTTGCCTGCAAATTGACAAGAGTCCCAGTGGTTTCATAGCAATAAACAGCTTTGTGCAGGCTTTGCAGGGTGACCTGATGTGAAGGCTGGAATGATGAGCAATGCAGTCTGTGCCCATTGCTGTCTGTGGCTGCTGCCTGAGAGCACTGAGAAAATCAGTAGGTCTCTTGTTGGACTTCAGGTGTGATTTCCCTGTGGAGTTGCTTATTCTCTGAAGCTCTACTCATGTTGTCTATAGTTCTCTTTGTTTGTTCTGACGTAAGAGCCTCATAATAAGGACTCTGTATACTAATTTATTTTAATGAATGAGACCTGTAGGAAGCTGTTAACACAGGAGTGTGCTGTAAATGGTAAGGCCATTTTTGTTACATGGCATGGCTTTATCTGCCTTTTCATAGGAGCTGAAGGACAATATGGTATCATGACAGGGAGACAGTGAGTCTGCTGCTGCCATGCAGGCAGGGGAGATGCACAGCAGGGAGGTGCAGCCTGGCCAGAGCCACAGGATGTGATGGGCTGCTCATTCCTTGCTCTCACCTACACCGTTTAGTAGTCAGGCTCACAGTGTTTTCAAGCAGAAACAGTGTGAGGGTTTTCCTGTGGGACTGCTGCGTGTTTGCTTTTCCCACTGGCATGTCTGCTTTCTGGTATAAATGCTTTTTTGGATTGATCTATATCTAATCTGAAGAGTTTATCTCCTGTTTTGATCGTTTCTCTCTCTCTCTCTCTCTCTTTTTTTTTCCCCCCATCTTGGCCTTAGTCTGAGCAAGAACTATCTTTGGAGAGGAACATGGTTATCTGAGGGCTTAAAACAGCAAAACCAGGGCATATTTGAAAAGAATACTCCTTTCCTACTGAGAGGAGGAAGCAATGTCTGTAGTTTTGTCAGATTGCTAAATTCTCTGCCTTTTCAGGTTGAGGCTGTGCCTTTGTCTCATTTTGTGATGTCAAATGCTTCTTTTCCAGGCTCCTTTAGTACTGCCCAGTATTTTCTTACTCAAACTTTGTTGTCAAGCCTTTAGGAATGAAGCTTTGCCGTTTAATCGCTAGTGATGGCCCCTGCAGTGAGAGCAGTGGTGAAACTCATCGCCTGCTCGTTTGTGTGTCGGCTCCGCTCGCTGTGATCCCAGGCCTTGTGGGTGCTGAGCGCGGGAGCACGACCCTCCCTGCTCGGCGAGAGGTTTGAAGCAGAAGGCTGGTGTCGGTGGCTCTTAGCAGCCTTCAGCACGCGTTAACAGGCTGCTCTCTCTCCGAAGGCTGAGCCGGGCTGTCCTCGCTGATGTGCTCTCATGCCCCACAGGCAGTGCCGGGCAGCGCACTTCGCACCGCTGAGCTCCTTCCTCGTGTGCGTGGGGACCGGATCCGGGAGCAGTTGCTCCTCGAGAGGAGTAAGAGCGTTTTTTCTAATCATTGGACCTCGCCCCAGCTTAGTCGCATGTGGCACCAGGGTGCTTGCTGCTTGCAGAGCTGCCTCTTGGAGGTACGCTAAGATGAACAGCCAGTGTCCAGGCAGCCGCTGAGCCTTAGCTAGGAATGAATCTGTTCTTAAAAATTCTAGCGGGAACTTAAAAATACCTTTGGGAATTTGATTACCAAATAGTCTGAGTTCTTCCTGAAAGTCCCTGAGGCTTAATTCAATCTAGGCAGGTTCCTCAGGTGCTAAAGCCACGTGTTTGTGCCTGTGCAAGTTTTACAAGACTTCCCACCTAGGCAGAGCATAGTGCTAAGAAAATGAAGGAAATGCAGGTTTGAGTAAGAATACTGTCAGAAAGCACACTAGGAAGCTTAGCAGTTGTTTGAAAGGATGTGGTGGGCAACATCACAACATGATTCTGGGAACAGACTTGAAACGGCATGCAGCAACATTTCTAATGCTTCAGGAGCAGAGCAAAGGCTTTCAACTCGCTGCCTTTAGCACTTATTTGTCGTGAACTGGCTTTACCCTAAAATTCCACTGATTTAATATTTAGCAGAGTGAATGTCCTTGGAAAGAAGCGGGTGGGAATGGCAGGCTTCATTGTTGTAGGCTTGATGATTTAGATCTGATTCTGGCTTGCTTTTAAATATAATGAAAATGCTCTTGATACATTCGTACCTGGTAGCTTATGTGAGTTAGGAGATAAGGACAAGTAGATATTCTCCAGAAGGACCT